GTTAAAAAGTGAAGTGGAAATAGAACAGAACAAACGCCTCTAGACAGAATGAATATAGCATGAATGCACCTTCCATGCATGGCTGTCCCCACCTGCATCTACCGACTCAGAGGTCCCATGAGCTCTGCTAGTTGGTAGCAGAAGTGAAACCCAACTGAGTTCCCCTGATACTCAACTAGAGAATGAGGTAGGCATTGTACTGGGGCCTCGCCTTCAAAGGAAAGCCCAGCAGATCACGAGTCAAATGAGTTGCCCACTTCTTGCTGTTTCCGCTTGTTGAAACTGCAAAGAACAGACCATTCCCGATCTCCCCACAGTGTGCTGATTTGTTGAATGGGAGGAAATACTGAATTCCAAAAAGCATTCTTAGTGGTATGAAAGAACACTATAGCGTACAGAATTCAGCAGTCTGGGATATAGGGTTTATAGCACAGTATATTGAAGAGGTCCATAAGTGCTGGGACAAGGTTCTTCAGTACCCAAGGTGACCAAAATGTCCCGGTAAGTTCAAAAGGAGTCTGTAAATGTAACCTGTCGGTAGTCCGATCAGCAGAGGCTGCCATGGTTAGATGTCTAAGAATGGGTCAGAGTCATCTAGTTTAATGAATATCGAATTATTTTATATGACCCAAAATGAATTTCGGTGAAATAAAGTAATTCAATGTTCTTTAAACCAGATGACTCCATAAAACTTTGGATTTGTTCTGGAGATCTTTGGTGTGCTGGTGACATACTTTTCGCTTTGAATATCTTCGGTTTCCAGATGGTGGTCGCTGCAGCACCTTTTCATACTCACAGAACATGTGCATTGGGAATAGTGAGTTTGGACATATGAAGAACACGCCAGACCAGTAAAATCCAAAACTCAGCCTCTTCCTATTGTCTTGCCAGAAAGATCACCTAGAAGTCTTCTGGTTTGGTGAACAGCTGATTCAAGTCATTCATTATACTTTGAGATGTGCAATCCTAAGGCCTTATGGAATGAGACGGAGAATTTAGGATCTAGTCCCATCTAAACCACTCTGGCTATTATTTCTCTTAGGACTGGGTCTCATTTGTCCAAACAGGACTGACCAAGGTGGTCTTTTCTTTTTGACCTTGGTTGATGTTTATTTCTTTTACATCAGCATTGGGTACACACTGAGTTTATTTCATACTTGATCCAAAAGACCAAGAACTGCTCCTTCTCCATGGACAATCAGTCCTGAATCTTTCCTCTTTCCAACAGGCTGGAATATTTCCCTATGTGAAATCAAGCACTTAAAGTGCTGACCACCTGCAATTCTATAACAGCACACAAATCACAAGCAATGCTCAAAATAAGGAGACCTGGATGCCTTCATCAAACCATTTCTAAATAATTGATATAACTTATAGCAGAGTTTCACCCAAAAGGGGAAGCTCCACTTTAGGCCTTTGTCCCCCGCTCCCCATTAAGGATTGGCACATTTGGGGAGTGGGGGGGAGGGGGTACCCGAATTTGACAGGTACCCGCTCCCACTTTCGCTGCGATCACCTAGGCGATTGGAAGCGGAAGTTGTCCCCCCCCCCCCCCTCCCTCCTCGTAGTCTTCTGGGACATGTGACGGGTTCCAGAAGACTACGGGGCCATTCACAAAGTGCAGCGCTTCTCGCACATGCGCAGTGGGCACCCGGCTGTGAAGCCGTAAGCTGCCCACACTACAGATGCCGGCGCCAGGAAGAGAAGACAGCCGGTGAAAGCAGCGGTGGTGAGGGCACTGCTGGACCGAGGGATAGGTAAGTGTCTGTATTTTAAAAGTCAGCAGCTATAGTTTTTGTAGCTGCTGAGTTTTATTTTTTTTTTTCAGGTGGAACTCCGCTTTTAAACCCCATTAGGAACACCCTCACACCATGTTGGCAAACAAAATCTGCCTGTGTGACCAGCCCCGGGGCTCCTCCGTTATAAAACACACCATGCCACCTCTCAATGTGCTTTTCTCCAGTGAGCTTGATGTTCAGCCTATGTACAAGCTGGGCAGATCCAAGTGCCTGAAGCATGTCAGTAATTATTGGTATGTGGCTTTTCATCTGGGTGAATCTTTACAGCGTTATACGCTTAGGGTTTGCCACCTGTAAAAAGGCAACAGCGGTGCCTGATTGGATGAGAGTTAATATCAAAATAATAACACAGTGCCGCAGCCAAGGATTTTATTGTGAGTTGTGAACTCGGTTCTGCTCGTAAATGCCGGGACACAAAGAGAGCGAAAAGTTTAAAGGACGACTCTTATCCTGTTTATAATGTGTAATTGAATAGGAAGAGCCTGAGAGATTTCACTGACAGGTCATCTATAAACACCAAGATAACCTTGTCTAACCTCTGATCACAGAAATATAATACGGGACAATGTGGCTGTGCCTTTCCATTAAATATTACTTAATAGGAACTGAAAATCTGCAAAATGTTAGACTTTTTACTGCAGAAGAGACATACTATGGCACATGTGTCAACGCAAGGCTTACGGGCCAAATCCGTCCCGCCAGGACATTCCATGTGGCCCTCGCACTTCTCTTGCAGTTGCGGCACCCACCTAGTCTCTGTTCCCATTTTGTCTCAGCAGCAGAGAGGAGGACAGAACTCCTCCACCAGATTCTGTGCTTCTCTGTGCAGCCAGGGAGAGGCTAGTCTCTGCCCTCCCCTCCGTCTCAGCACAGAGGAGGATAGAGCTCCTCCTACAGATCCTGCTCCTCTCTGTGCAGCCATAGCAACCCCTTGTCTTTGCCTCCCCTGGTCTCGGCATTTAGCAGACTCCAGCCCTCCTCTGGTCCTCCTTCAGACTCTACACTTTCTGCTTCCCAGCTCTGCCCCCAGCTTCCTCCTGACAGCAGCACAAGGTAAGGGGGGAAGCACTGTGATGTAAGTGAGGGTGGGGGAATTTTAACTTCTGACGGTGGGGGGGCTTCTTGTCATCTGACATAAGGGGGAGTGGGGTGCTCAGGACATCTAATCTTACAGATACATCTGGCCCTTTGAGGGCAACCATAATGCTGAAGCAGCCCACAATGAAATTGAGTTTGACACCCCTGGTGTATGCTGTCTGCTTATAAAACAATTTGCCTTCGCGAATGTTCCAAGTGTTCTCATAGCCATCACAAATCAACCCTATATTGTGTCTATTGTGTATTTCCCATGATTGTTAGGTCCATCCAGTTACCAAATTGCAGAATTTTCCCGATTGCAGTATTTCAGGAAAATACATTAATTCAGTGCTGATTATGAATCCCAATTAAGTCAATTGGGACTGAATGTAAAAACCAATAATGGCAATTTTCTAGGCTAATAGGCAAGAGATTGTCAAAGAAATGGCAGAGAGGGCTGGGGACTGCCCTGGGGACATGTAAGAGAGCACAAAAAGTTTTAAAAAAATTTCAGTTTTGAAGGGAGCAGCAATGTTAATGTGACATTAGAAATGCAAAAATCCTTTATACAACATGCCTGATGATGGGTGCAACCTAACACAGCAAAAACTGACATTTACAATACAAACATTCAGGTTAATTGCCAGCAAAAGACAGCTCCCCGACACTTCACTCCTGTATGTAAACAAACAGCTGGGGATTCCCTTCATCTATACTAGACCCTTATCCTAGGTAGATGAAAATGTAAGGCCTTTTGAGTGAAATTAGTTGACTAAATGATGGCAAAATTGAATGTTCTGATACGCAATTGTCTTACTTTTCACATGAACGTTCAAATGAAATTCTTCTGGGACATTTCCAGCTTTACCCTCAGATAACACTAGTGCAGGCGGAAGCCGCAGCGGAACCCGCACTTTGTCCTGGAGCTGCAACCACTTGCACACAAAACGCGGGACATGTGGGTTGGTGGCATTAGTCTTAATGGCACATCGCCCGCACTGGAAATCTCACCCGCACTGGGAACCGCACTGCAGTGCGGGCTGCGACTCCTGGAAAGATGCAGGGACCTTTTCACTTCATTTCGTGCAGACTCCACCTCTGCAACATCGCCAAAATCCGCACGTTCCTAACCCCAGAAACCACTAAACAGCTCATCCACTCCCTCATCATATCACGACTCGACTACTGCAACTCCCTCCTCACTGGCCTGCCTCGCCGCTGGCTATCCCCGCTTCAGTTGATCCTGAATACGGCTGCCAGACTCATTCACCTTTCCAACCGCTCCATCTCCGCCACCCCCCTCTGCCAATCACTCCACTGGCTTCCGATTGCGCAACGGATCAAATTCAAAATCCTAACACTGACGTACAAAGCCGTCCACCATACTGCCCCGAACTACATCACCAACCTAATATCCAAGTACCACCCAACACGCACACTCCGCTCCTTACAAGACCTCCTTCTCTCTAGTTCCCTGGTCTCCTCCTCCCATGCCTGCCTCTAGGACTTCTCCAGGGCGTCACCCATCCTCTGGAACTCCCTGCCCCAACCCATCAGATTATCACCTACTCTCCTCTCCTTTAGGCGCACCCTGAAAACCCATCTCTTCAGGGAAGCCTACCCCCACCCCCTGCTAACCGCCTTCACTCTTCCTACCACTCCATCCCCCACAGCTATCTCCTCCTGTACCACTATCCCCTCCCTCCTAGATTGTAAGCTCCAAGGAGCAGGGCCCTCAATCCCCTCATGTTTTGCATTGTATTGGTATTGTTCTGTCACATGTTCTGTCCCCCTTTGTAATGTACAGCGCTGAGCGAACTATTGGCTCTTTATAAATACTGTATAATAATAATAATAATAATTTTGCGAGGCACAGTAGCCCATTTAAATGTATTGCCATGCTGCAGCCCGCAAAACAGCACTAGTGTGAACCGAGGGTAACATCAAACAGGCAAGCAGTACCAAAAAAACAAAAACCCAACAAAAATGGAAATAAATTGCAATTAAAAAAAATCCAGTCATTCCATAATTTAACCAAAATAAAAAATCATGTTTTGTCTCAAATTGGGATTACAATACATGATTGAAGCACGTAGGGTGGACCTGTTTAACCTTTCAAAATCTTTACCTTCTCCTCTTCATCCCGTAGTAGCACCGGATGGGTCTTGGCAATGGAACTCGATCGATAAAATTCCACAAGTTCATTGAGCGAGCCAAATTTGGTTTCCCACAGGTAGTAAATTCCAGATTTTTCTCGAAGAACCTTAAAATGCTGCACATGATGGCCATAACTGGGGATAAGGAACAAATGGGAGAATATTAAACTGATAGCACAACATAGGAACTTCATGCTGAAAAAAAAAAGACATGGCAGAGAGGAGAGGGTTCTCCGCTGGATCACAGAAACATTAAAGCAGAACTACGCTGTATCTGAGCACCACAAACCAAAAACGCTATTTAATTAATTTTTAACCTCTTGGTGCACAAATGTGCGGCCTCCTGGCGTCTGGGCCTTGATGCCGAGCGGCTGCACATTTGCGTGCACTTAGGAAAAACATATATGCTGAGAGCGTGCTCCCAGCACACATGTCCGGTACTCACGGAAAGGTCCCGACCTCCTCTTGCAATCGGGACCTTTCCTGATCATGTGACAGCGAATCACATGACACTAAAAAACCGCCCCGCCTCCTGAAACCCTTAAAGGGAGGCTGGGAGGTGCTGGCGCCAAGGGGTTAATATTTAAAGCAAACTCCCCCATCCATTCATGCTTTATTTTGCTATGAAATCACTTAACCCCCCCCAGCATTTCTGCCCATGGCCATCTTAAGTAAGGGCAGGTGATTCATGTAGCGGTACCTTCCTGGAATCCATCTGCCCTTAGCTCACGCATGCAGGCAGGAGGGTGTGCTTAGCTGAAAAAAAAATAACCCTCCTTCCCTCCTGAAGACTCTTGGGATGTGTGACATAATTTACCTCCTAGGCCTGGAAACCAGGAAGTAACTGAAGAAATGTAAAAAAAGTTTATAACAAGTAAATAAAATATATACCTTCCTATCTATTTACTAATGCTAGCAGCATGAGGAATAAAAATAGTCAATGTTGGGCAATCTTTTGCCCTGTTGGTGTTAGAGCACTGATTTCTTTAATTTTCTAATTCTTTTATGTGCAATTGATAGCCCCTGCGTGGGCGTGATTTGTTGCTCCTGTGTTAATTGTTATTAATTAATAAAAACCATTGAAATACAAAAATAGTCAATGTTGACTGAGAGAGTGAAGTTCCACTTGAAATTTCTCTTACTGGAACTCACTACCCCAATCCACCAGACTGTCACCTTCCCTCCTCACCTTCAGGCGCTCCCTGAAAACCCACCTCTTCAGGGAAGCCTACCCCACCTCACCTAACAGCCGCTGCCCTTCCCTCCTCCTACCACTCCATCCCCCACAGCCATTTCCTCCTGTACCACTACCCCCTCCCTCCTAGATTGTAAGCTCGAAAGAGTAGGGCCCTCTTACCCCTCGTGTACTGTTTGATGTTACTGTACTGTTTCATGTATTGTCCCCCCTCTATTGTACAGCGCTGAGCAAACCCTTTGGCGCTATATAAACTAGATAAATAAATAAATAATAAATAATACAGCAACCAATCGTTTCTTTCTCCCAGTGCCCTAACTGGCAATTTAATTTGCAAAGACCTTGTCCAAAAAAGATGTCGGTAACTATAACACCGAACCGCAGTGATGCTGCTGTTTTTCAGTGAGGGTGTTCTTTCATAGCACAACTGCATATAATATATAATGACTTGTGATTAAATAGTCTTTTGTTACACAGTTAGAACTCATGGCTCTTTATGGAGTGAGTTACACATGTAGAATGTAGTAGAGATTAATCACTAATGATCACACAATGCTCCAAATGTAACCTGTGTGACTCCCTCCGTACAGAGCCCATATGTGCGATGATGGAACGATACTTGTAGTGATTAGTAACTAGCATTCTTGTTAGCAAAGTTTTGCTACTAAAAATCACCAGGATGCTTCTAGTCTTATGTAGTTGCATTATTATGTCAGATTCCAAAATAACTACCTTCCTCTATGATTAAAGTGATATTAAACCTTAGGTTTTTTTTTTAAAAATTAACCCCCCTGGAGGTATTCCCAAGTGTCGCTCGGGGTAAAGTTTCATCACCACATGCGGTAACCCCGAGCTACACTCGGGAATACACTGCAGCGTTGCTCCGGGATCTCTTCTTCACTTACCTTGTCCTGCGCTCCCGCGATGTCACCCCTGCAGTGTCCCCGGCAATGTCCTCCGACCGATGCTGGCATCTGTCTTCTGGGTTCCCTTCCCTGTGAGCGTCGGGACGTACGGGGGACGGAAAGGTGGGAAATTTAAAAATGTGACATTCACTAAAATCACATAGTATAACATTCCTGTATCAAACCATTTCACAAAAATTTTGTCCCGAGTGCTTTGTCCGTCGCCCCCTGCCTGCATTTTTACTGTTCTTTCTGCCTTGAAACTGAGAAACGTCCATGGCGTCCAAAAAGCGTCCCTTTAGGTCAAAAGCGGTTTTAGACCGGCTAGAGAACAGTGATAGTAAATCAGAACCACTTGCAGAATTGAGTGATAATGATTCGTGGGGAAATTCCTCATCAGACACTGAAAACGATGCTGCGACTTTGCTCAGCGATGTGCGAACTTGGCGCTATATTTCAAATTTCAGTGTTTTTGGTTTTATTATCTTATTGAATTAAATGTATTATTATTATATTATTATTTTTTATGATTATTTATTAAATTATAATTTATGATTTCGTGTTTCAAATTTTATCATACCCGGGATGTTTTACTAGACTCTTGTTCGGGCAGATTTCAGTGAGTTATTCCTAAAAATTACAGGCCTACAATAAAAAAAATACATATTTCCATGTAAAAAAAATGTACCGCTTTGAGCACAGGAACATAATCAGACCGCTAGGGAGGCTACAGTAAAAAACATGTCTATATGTACCTGCTGTGTGCAATGCTTTTGCACAAAGCAGCCCCAATCCTTCTCTTCTTTGGTCCCCTGCCGGCGCTCCTGGCCCCTCCTCTTCTGTGAGTGCCCTTGGGGGCACCCATTCTGGCTCGCTCCTGAGCTGCCCTGTCTGCATCCATTGACACAGAGCGAGCGTCACTGCATTTGATTGACAGCAGCGGGAGCCAATGGCTCCCGCTGCTATCAATCTGCCCAATGAGGAGGGTGACATCCTGCTCTTGTGCCCATCGCTGGATTGGATTGGGCTTAGGTATGAAAAAAGGGGAGCTTGGGGGGGACCTACAACACAGAAGGTTTTTCACCCCAATACATAGAATGCATTAAGGTGAAAATCCTTAAAGCGGAGTTCCAGCCAATAGGGGAAGTTCTGCTTTAAAGATTGGTACCCCGCTCCCTATTAAGGTTTGGCACCTTTGGGGAGCGGGGGGCAACGGGTACCCGAATTTGACAGGTACCGGATCCCACTTCCCCTGCGATCGCCTAGGCAATCGAAAACGGAAGTTGTCCTCCTACCCTCCCTCCCCGAAGTCTTGTAGGACACGTGACAGGTCCCAGAAGACAACAGGACCATTTAGGAAGTGCAGTGCTACTCACGCATGCGTAGTGGGTACCTGGCTGTGAAGCCGCAAGCTATCACAGCCGGGTGCCCACACTGAAGATGCCGGCTTCCTGGAATACAGGACGGTCAGTGAAACATGCTGCCGGGGGGGGGCAACACGGGATCGTGGGATAGGTGAGTGGCTGTTTTTTAAAAGTCAGCAGCTACAGTTTTTGTAGCTGCTGACTTTTATTTTTTTACAGAGTGAGTGGAACTCCGATTTAAGGCTTTAGAACCACTTTAAGGTCTATATGAGCAAAACACATTAGAGAGAGAAGATCTAGCGAGTCATGTTGAGAGCAAATCATTTTTTTTAAAGTGGGGATAATTTGGTGATCGCTCTCCACTTTTTTTGGGGATATGCTGTGAAGCGGTAATGGAAAATGTGTGCCGCTCAGGCTACAAGGAAAAGCAATCCTGTGTCCACCACTATGAGTGCAGGCCAGGGAAGGAGTTCATCTCAGCTCCAAGCAACTGTTAAGCAAAGAATGGTTCCCATGATCCCACACATCTATGGATCCCCATGATTAAGCTCTGAGCGAACCGCATTGGGGGCGTGGTCTGGCAGGAGCCCAGGCTGAGACTGCCATTCATTCCAATACCAGCGGGACTGGATTGATGTGCAGCTTCATGGGATCCATCCTTTGATTTTTGGGATATGTGCTACATTCTTAATAGCACCCTTGAGTCTTTGTCAAAGTTTCACTTTGCTTGGTCACTTTATGAATAGTACATTCTGGATTGCTTTGTGAATATGTATTCACCAGGCATACTCATCCACCTGTCATTTGTAGTAATTAGGAAAAAACTGTAACAAAGGCACTATACAAAAATTATACGTTTTTTTTTTTGCTCAAAACTGGAGACATTTTAACCACTTGCCCTCCGCCCTATAGCAAAGTACTTCTACAGGTCGGCAGGGCTGCGCAAAATGACACATATATATATAATATATATATATATGTGTGATTTGCATTTCTGGGCTGCTATTGGCGGAGCAGAATACATTTTGGCCTAAATTTATGAATAAATTTGATTTTTAAATTTTTTTCTATTGGATGTTGTATAGCAAAAAGTCCAAAATATTGTTTTTTTTTTCAAAACTGTCAGTCTTTTTTTGTTTACAGCGCAAAAAAATAAAAAATGCAGAGGTTATCAAATTCCACCGAAAGAAAGCTCTATTTGTGGGGAAAAAAATGACATAAATTTAATTTATGTACAGCGTTGCAAGACCACACAGTTGTAACGCAGCGCCATATTGCATAAAATGGTCTGGTCAGGAAGGGGAATAAATCCTCCAGAGGGCAAGGGGTTACCGTATACCCAATCATGACTCCCCTATTGCTGGCTACTGCTGGCCCTTTAAGTGGCTCTTAACACTGGAGGCATTTTTTTGGTCCCCTGATCATGTGATCAGTGAGATTGGCTGTTATAGTAGTCATGTGATCAGCAGCCTGTCTCTCCTGGCTCTCAATCATAAACGGTGACCAGGAGTTGTCTGTGACAGTGTGGTCACAGTGCTGGAAAGCTGTGTAAGTGCACCTGCAGCACAGAACATGTGTTACAGTCCATCACAGCTCCGCTCCGCCACGCCACACATGCAGATTTCATCTAAGCTTTGGCATGTCAGTGGCAGTTCAAAAGCAGTTTTCA